TAGACGGTAGTTTTTTTCCTTCTTTCGGGGGAGGTCTTACTGTGAACTGAAGCCAAAATTGCTTGTCTATATTGCCTTTGAAAAAAAACATTACTCGTGTATCATTGCCCCAAGGTAGGACAAGTGTGTCAAGTCAGTCAGTGAGTTCATTGAGTAGTACAGAGAACAAGACTCTTATTTCTGCAATGAGGATCCTTTTGATGTACAAGTATACCCCCTGGACAGTATGCCTTACCTCAGTTTCAAGGTGTTACTTTTCATGATGATGAAATTAGAATAGTCTCCCTGAAAGTTATTCACCCTTTCTCCTTGTTCTAGGCAAGTTTTCCTGGCGATCCTCCATCATTTGAGACTTCATCGCTTTTTAAAATCTTTTGCATTTAAAGGGAATACTCCTTCAGGAGGCTCTATGTTTTAGCTCCAGAGGAAGTGTCGTGTGGCTGCCTGTTTTGTGCTCTCCCTGGCTGCTATATGAGGCACTTCTTCTGTTTATGTGCACAGTCCATTCCTCCAGATGGTGAGTTGTGTTGCTGTGAGTCAGTATATAAAGCAAGCAGGAAGAGAAAGGTGTGATTTTACAGACTTTTAACAGGATCCATGCTACCAGACACACTGGTTTCAGCATCTTAAAAACAGGCAACCACCAATGAAGTCCCAGCAGGATAATGCATCACTGTCTCAGCATCATATACACTTTAATTGCCTTTACGAACCATAAATCTCATTTCAGTACATACCCTAAAGGAATAAGGACTAAGATAGTTTCCTATAACCTTTAAAAGTTAAATGATTTTTCTTGATTTAATGCTGAAAACATTTAGTCAGAGCAGGTGTCATTTTTCGGACATAACGGATATCTCAACAATCTTGACACACAACGTCTTGCTGATGGCCTTGAGAACAACACGTTCAAGTCATCTATGGTTAGCTTCTTCTGTAGGTTTGATAGCTATGGTTGGCTTGCTATCAACCAGGGAGCTCATTTACTACCCGGGAGTATGCCTCACTTTATTTTCAGACACATTCGTAATGAACTATTTTATTTCTGACAGCTCCCTCACTGGGGGGAATTTTTGCCATTCTGTTTTTTAAAGAAAGAGACATATAGAAAATAAACGTGTATGTATTTGTTGTGTCAATCCGAAGAAGCCACTGAAACTCACTGACTGAACTGTTGACCTCCTACGGGATATTCGGCATTGTGACTTTCCTTATTTCACATTGTGAGAGTAAAAAGAAAGAAAGAAAAAGAGTACATATGTGTATTTCTTTAAGAGAAGGATGCCTTCTATCTTCACACACACACACACACAGACACACACCAGCCCGCCTAGTGTATTTCCCTCCTGGCTTTCCAATTTAAATGCAAATGTTCCTAAATCGGACTCCACAAAGACGCAGAGGCAAAATCATTTGACGCAGCGATGAATTATATATTTTAATTAAGCAGCCAAAAGAATCACGCCTATTCAGCCCTTTCCCCTCCAATAAGAAATGAATAAATAAATATGGAAGAAGGGAAGAAGAAGAAGTGAATAAATGGAAGGGTCAGGGGAGGGATGGATGGATGGATAAAGGGAGGAGGGTTTGTATTGAGTTTGTGTGATTGCAGCGCTAACCGCCCGTGGGCTGTCATTATGTGAGCGATCTGAAGCTGTCAGATTTCAAAACTGTATTGTTTGCTGATAGACGGGCTAAATACCCCCACAGCTTCAGGCATACGCACATACACACTAGAGCGTTTGCACCCAGAGAATCCCAATGGCATGCAAACACACACACTCACACACACACACACACCATTTGGATTTTGATGGGCAAACCAGCACTTGAAGAGCAGAGATGGGGATTGTGATGCTCTGACAAGGGATGCAATTTTAATTTCACCCCCTGTCACTCTCCTCAATATCTGCTCAGATGAAATACATATGAGCTGCCAATCACTCATACATACAAATAGACACACAGGAGCACACACACACACAATCTATCTCTCAATCATATGCATGCAAACTTTCAGTTACTATTTCTGTCTTTGGAAGTCACAGGTGCACACACACAAAGGCTCATCTTTTAATATATTGAAAACTCAAATACAGACTATTTTGCTTTTTTAAAGCGACAGCTATGGGATACCAGGACTTGAGATCCCAGTATTTCACAGAGGATTCAAATTCTGTTTGGTTGCCTTATTTTCCGCCTCAGAGATAGAGATTAAGTATTCTACCAAAACTTTATCCACATAATCTAGTATATATGAAAAATAACACAGAAAAAGGACTACGCGTGTAGTAAAGTTGGAATACAAACTAATTAGCTTATGATTATGCATGCATCAATATCAAGAAACTCATCTACATTTAATGTTTTAGAGATGCTGTGCGTTTGCAGAATATACTGTAACATAACAGCTGGGTGAGGAATCCATGGCGACAGATGTTTCTCGTACAGAAGTGCATTTCCCAGTTTACAAGCTTATTCAGACCCCGCCACCTCCCTTTTTAATACTGAGAGCAGGATGTGGGGTGACACTCTGTGAAGTGGTAGTGGGACCAGTTTGGGAAATGGTCAAGGCCTTAGTGGAGTCAGCCCAAGGAGCACTATAACATGGGTTGCAGTAGCAGTAAACACCTTCTGAAATTATTCTTTGTCTTTGTCTCGTGTGGATAAGAACAGCACTTATTTATATTTGTCATTAGGAGAAACTTCTTCAGTGGTATTATATTGTTTTCTAATGACAATAACCTTCTCTTTATTACTTTGTGTTGTGTTGATATAAATATTATTGTTATTTAAAAACCTTTTTCCTTCTTTAATGAATCAATAATTTAGATATGAAAGTTTTATATTTTCACAAACAATTAGTTCTGTTATAAAAAGAACCTTCTTTACTGTAATAAACTCAGTTTCAAAGCTTCTTTTTTTTTAAACACCATTGGTTCTGTCCTTCATGAAAACATTTCCTAGTATGCCTAATGTCTTTGACTGTTTTATTGCCTTTTGATATTTCATTTGGACTGTAAAAGCTTTTTTATGTTCTTGAACGTTACTCAGCACTACTTGTGTACGGATGTGTTTCTTTCTCTCTGTGATGCTTAAACAGGGTGTACTGGTGATCATGGTCAATGTTAACAAAAAGAGAAGGAGTGAAGAAGTGGACGAGAGTAGAAGGAAGTAAGAGAAAAAAAATAGCTGAAGCTAAACAAAGACCAAGAGGTAATGGGAGATGACAGTGGTTTGTGACAGCTGGAGTCTTGCATTAAAAGAACAAGGAAATTCACTTTCCTTTCTTTAGCTCTATTTAGAGGGCTCACTCTGTTCTCCACACGCAGACACACACACACACACCTTATTCACCACAAGTCTCAGCAGCAACTAGACCCTTAGACAACCTTTGTCTGTAAGAGAGCCAATATCTCCCCTCACTGAGCAGAGGAGAGGAGACGGAGGAACAGCCCATGAGAGATAAAAGGAGGTAGAGGGAGAGAGAGAAGAGAGAGGTCACATTTTAATGGGAGGAGCTGGGTTCAAGGCCCCTTCTTGGCAGGCATCTGCCCTCTCAAGTGTCCTTGGACACGACGGTGAATCCCTACCCAATAGTGTACTTATACCGGAGCTGACACCGACCTCTGACCTTTTACCTTGTAGTGTAAGCGAGAAAGAAACAACAACAGCTTTTGTGTTAAACAGCCGGCAGACTGTTGTCACCGCGAGGTTGAGACTAAAACCTTTGCTCTCCTACTGTATCCGGCAACCTGTCTTATAGCGACATGGATGTACCTGAGCAAATCAAAAAAGAGAAAAAAAATCAAGAAAACTATTCAACACACAACCACTCCTAAAATTACATTCCTGTTCATTTGCAGATAAAAAAAGTTTGATATTTTGGCAAGAGTTGGATTGATACCACTCTATGTCTGTATGCTAAATATGACAATTACTGCTGGTTGCCGGGCAACTGCTTTTAGGAGGCATTTAACAGCAATTTGGTGTTTTTAATTTTTGCTAATTGAACAAACAGCATACAGTGTGTTAATTAGAGAGCTTAAGAAGTGTTTGTTGGTGGAATTTGTTAACTATAAAGAGTTCCCATTCTAACTGATTCCCCCTGTTTCCAGTGTTTGTCCTAAGCTAAGTCAGCCAGCTGCTGCTGTTAGTATCTTATTTACCACATGGGCACGAGAATGGCCTCAATCTTCTCATCTCTGCAAGAAAGAGAAAACAGATATTTCTCAGTGTGGAACTTTTAAGTAAGATGTTGAACTATTCCTTGTAAAAAAAATAAGCAGCAGGGATAAATGTTTAAAAAGCAAGACAATAAAGAAAGGAGGAGTGAACGACCAAAACACAGGGAACAACAACATGAGGAGACAGAAGGATAAAAGTATGAGAAAGCAAGACATTAGAGTGCCTTTCACTTCCTCCATCTTACCCCAACCCTTTATAAACAACAAATACTTTCTCAATTTTAAACTTCAGGTTCTAAACATTTATTGTGCGCCAGCAAAGAGGCAACGGGATGCCCATGAAGTATTGTTGTCTTACATGAACGCTGTGTGTTTTGTTTATGGTGTGCTATAGCTTTAAGAGCTGCTGGCCATAGCCCATCCCAGAGAGGATGGACCCATTAGGCTGATGAACAGAAAGAAAGAGAGAGAGAAAGAGAGAGAGAGAGGTTATACAGTCAAAAGGATAACAACAGTGAGAGAAGTAAAGAAAGGAATTCCATTTGGAATAAGAGAGTTTGACGAGTAGCAGGGAAACAGCAAAGGAGAGAGAAAAGGCCACTCAGGGGACCACAGTAGTGAGAGGAGATAGAGAGACACTGAGAGATACAGAGAGAGGACAGGAAGCAGCTATCTCTCCATCTCCTCCATGGTGTTGTAGGCGTCTATGGGTCTGTCAGTCAATCGGGACGACAGGCGGACACACTCTCTCGCCGGCTCTCTTGCCTCTCGCACGCGCTCACGCTGATGACTTTGCTGTGTGTGTGTCTACAGATGGCAAACCTTGTGACATCGTTGTGCTGTGTAGTTCTGGCCGCAGTGGTGGTAGCCTACGCTCAGAGACGCAGTCAGCTTGGTGAGTATGCATTTTATCTTCTCCTTCATTACGTTGTACCTCTCTCCTGCCGAGGCCTTCTCTGCTTCTTCTCGTTTTTATCCTGTGTGGTCGAACCCCGCTGCGCTCCTCTGTATTCCCAAAAAGTAAATACTGTTTCAGTCTGTTTTCTTCTCTCAACTTTCCTGCACTCCACTCTGCTCTTCTTTGCCCTTAATGTATTATTTCTGCCCTCCTCTCTTCTAGTCTTGCTGCACTCCACTCTATGTAGTGCTACTGATGCTCCACTCTTTTCAACCTCTCTCAACTCTGTCCTACTCCACTTAAAGGATTTCACCTCTCCTGTGCTCAAATTCGCTTTTTCTTTTAAATAATGCTTTCGTAGTATGTGGCTGTTAGGGCATACTACATTGATAAAGCTACCGGCCTTCCTTTTATGCATAAACTTCATTTTATGCTGCTTGATTTGCTGTAAAAAAGCTTTTTCTTTTGTTTTTGTTGTTGATTGTGATATAGTTGAGCACTTGTGGACTTACTGTGTGTTTCTGGATGTTAGCTGTGTGTCCTTTGGCCAGTTTGAGCTACAGTAGCTGGTTAGCCAATAGCTGTGAGAAAGCTTAAGTGTATTTCACTTTTGCTCCTTCACAGACAGAGAAACAATAGCTGACCAAATCATCCCTCACTGCATGGTGCTAATAGTTTAAGTATGTTGGCCACATTACCAACAGGGCTGCAGCGGCAGGTAAACTCAAATTAATGCCATTTACGCATCTTTTTATATACAAAATAGTGTCTAAATGCCTGTTTATGAAGCTTTACTCATGTGCCATTGCACAATTTTTAAAAGTTTCAACTCCTCCAATGTCATTGCCTGGCACATATGCCCCCTGCTTCCTTCTTCCTCTCCTCTCCTCCCTCGCCCTCTCCTAAGCGGAGAGCGTCGGTGCTCGCAGGTTAATGACATTGAAGTTCTGCGACATGCACTGGCAGGAAAACTCTTAATTTTTTCAGCCGTCCTCCAAAAGACACACTGCTAAAGGTTGCCAATGTAAATAGTGGTTGCTTAACGCATACATATGCCCACCACTAGTTGTTATCAGCACCTGGTTACCGCGACACAGGCCAGCAAATGACAAAAGGACTATGCCCTGTAATTTAGCAGCAAGGAAGCCAACAGGTAGCACTCTGAAATATTGGCGCACTGAGATTAATGGGCTGAGTGGCCAGGACTTTTTTTTTGTCAACCCCTGACTGCTAGTGTGATTTGTTTTTTCAGTTTCTGGACAGTTTGAATAGTTTTATAAGTAGCTTTGACAGTTGAAATTTGAAATCGAATGAATGAATTAATATGCAATTGAATATTGATTGTCCAATAATAATAATAATAGTAATGATAAGAAATATAATAATAATAGTAATAATAATAATAGAGATATATGATTTGGGATCAGCACTTATTCTTGTATATCTAGTCCTGTAAATGGGCAACTGAAGTTTTTAGTTTGCACATTTTTGTTTATTTCTTATTTTTGCCACTACAGCCCTGATTAACAAGGCTACCTCCATAACAAATACTGGTTGAACAAAGAAGCCAGTCAGTCCAACTGGTGATCATGAGCGTGATTCAAATGATTTGTGTATCGAGGTTTTGAAGGCAATAAGAACTTGAAAAGACCTACATAATGCAATGACTGCTCTTCTGAGAGTTAACACAAGATGCATGACCATCAATTAGACTGTGTGTTAATGGTGTAATGTAAGTGTGTCTGTGTGTGTGTGTGTGTGTGTGTGTGTGTGTGTGTGTGGTCACTTGACTTTTTAGTGAAGTGTGGCCTTGGCTTATTAGCCAATGAGGTCGGACTGTTTAAGTCAGCTGACCCAAAGGAAGAGTCTGGGGAAGTCAATAAGTCCCCAGTGACGCACATCACTGTGTCACGAGGGTCACACACACACACACACACACACACACACACACAAACAGAGCAGAAATGTCTTAGGAAATAGGAATGTTGTCTTTGGGGATTTGGTGAAACAGCAGTGAAGGTAAGTGAAAGAGAGAGATGGAAAGAAAAACAAAAAGAAGTTGAGAAAAATAGAAGGTAATAGAAGGCAAACAGAAATGGACAGATTGAGAATGAAAGTCAGGAGGAATAACAACTGATGTTTAATGGGAAAGCATGCAGAATAAAGCACTGAGAAAATGAAAGTTGTGCCCCAAACAACTCTGTGTAAGGAAAAAGCAGGGTTCTCACTCTCCACACATACAGTGTACAAATAATTGTGAAAACTGTTGTGCTGTTGTGTTGGTCAAGGCAGATGACCACCCACCTAGAGCCGAAGGGTCTGTCTGAGGTTTCTGC